AAAGTGAATTAGCAGAATATCATTACCAGATAGCTGATGCTCTGAAATGTTTAGCTTTTTAACTTTACATTGGTTAAGCACAGACTTCTGGCAAAACTATTCAAAGTTAACTGCTGGTTAACTTTTCTCTAAAATTCTTTAAGATGGTAGACTTAGTCCTTGATGTTGAATCTGCCAGTTTGCCTGGCGCCAGCTGCAGTAATAGCTGTTTTGATAACTTCTGTTCCTGAGCCCTACTCAGCATATCTGGCCTGGTGACTTCTGGGGAAGTCTCCTAGTGATCTACACTAGCATATTAAAATGCTACTGATCTCATCATTACACTTCTTTCTAAAAACTTTCCAGAAGGCTGCAGCAGACATGTTGAGGAGTTAAGCAGCTTTCAAGGTATTAATAGCAGGCTTCCAGAAAGAATATGCTGTTTCTTGTGATGATCAGCTTGGTAATAGTACAGACTTCTACACAACACAAAGCTCCTCAGAAGCAAGCTTTGATAGTTGATATTTAAAACACTAGTCAAGATTAAATTGCTGTATTCCTACTGCTTGTCTAACTGGGAAAGTTTAAGTGTTACTTTAATGTTCTTGTCTTCTGTATAGATACACGACCTGCAGGCATAGAGCCCACAGAAGAACATCTTAAGCACTGGTTTGGAACTTCAGAGAAAGATAAAGCCCCTGATTGCACAACCCAATAAAGATGCCCTGTGGTAAGCTGCCTTTGCGGTGGCTACAGCCAGAATCTGCATATATTGAAGATAATTGCTTCAGGTCAGAAACCATCAGCCTCTTCTACGAATTATGGGAAGAGCTCTGGTGGCACACAAATCCCTTGCTGTCTTGGAGCTGCTACTTCCCACAATTGGAAAAGCTGGAATACAAGTACAAAAATAGAAAAGCAGTCATGTTGCCCACAACCTGCTGATCTGATGATGTTCTACTTCGGTGGGTTGTTTTTTTTTTTTGAGGATGGCAAAGGAAGAAAAGCCAATGTATTAAAGAAAAAATGGAAAAGGATCACGAACTAATCTACTGTGAAACTTCTCAATCTTAAACTTTTCATTCTGTCATTCCTAAAACAGCCGCCCTCTGGGTGGTCAATATTCGTATCTTCGGAGTGCTGTTGCGTTGGAACTAACTGTACTTCTCATTTCTCAGCATAATGGTTTTTATACCGCACTCTAGTCTGCAGAAACTGCATTTTCACCACAATTTTAGCCTCTCTATCTGGACATTGCAACTGAAGTTACTAATTTGCTGTTTGTAGGACACACAATAAAGGGTTCCTCTTAAAGTCCTTACAGTATTTCTGCAGCTCAGTCAATTATGGTGCCAAGAGTAACTTTGTATTTTGCATCATCTTTCAATAGTTCTTGTCTGAAGTAAGATATTGAATTTTTTTAATAGTAAGCAACGGACCTGACACTTCTGCTTCTCTAGTGAATGGAAAATAAACTGGATGATCAGGGCTGCAAGATGGACTATTTTACTGGCCTGTTTATCTGCATTGTGAAACCTGCTTTGTATAAGAAGATTTTGTTTTGACAATAAACTTTAATGTGTTAAATATTTAAAAATTTAATACTTCTGGTAATTTAAAAATTTTTGCTGGTCGCTTCACTTGTGCCATGATCTAAGCATGTTGATTACCATATTCAGTGTCTAAAGACTATCTTTTATAGTAACTTCACCCCTTCCATCATTATTATGCTTCTTTTCTGTGTACTCTATAGCTTTCTGCAATAATTACTTTCTGCAGAAGTTTACTGTTGCACAAGTCTGTGTCACTGGTGTTTTGCTTAATTCTTCTTTCTAACTGAGTCTGTTGGGAAATGTTTGTTTAAAAGAGAGATCCTCTTCCCTTTCCTCCCCACACGCCCACCACTGTCAACTAAAGAATTTGGCACTCAAAACCTGAGACCAACTCTGAGAATTAAATCATGGTGAGATGAGAAAGTCATAGCTACCAAAGATACCTGCATGAAAAGTTTCTTCCTTATTTTATAGGAATAATGCTTTAAGTGATGCTAGGTCTCTTGAGTACTCCATTTTGGGTTACCCAAACTGATAAGCAAATGGTTACATTGGCATGTTCCTGGGCATTCGGCAGTTACTGGAATTGGATGAGTCGCACAAGGATTGTTTACCTGATGGAGTTGGATGAGACCTTGAGGAACATCATCTAGTGGAAGGTGTCCTGCCCATGGTAGAGGGCTTGGAACTAGATGATCTTTAAGGTCCCTTCCAACCCAAACCATTCTATGGAGGTACTTCACAGAAGCTTATTAAAGAGCCAGCTATATATTTACCTTGAAGAGCGGAAAACTGCCAACTACTGTAACTACTAAGAAACGATAAGTACTTATCTCTAAATCTCTGTCCTGTAATGTATTTTGGGGAGCTTTTAAAGATATTGCTAGCCAAAAATACACAGGTTGTAAATACCATGACTGAGTTTAGCACTGCGTTGTCTTTCCTACCACAGCCATAGGTATGTAGGAGCAACTAAGTTCCTGACAATAAGTGCAAAGTGCTGCTGTTTGTGTGGTGGTTGTTTTTTTTTTTTTTTAATTTTGTCTTTGGGAGTTCATTGGGGTTTTATTTTATTTCATGGGTTTGGGTTGGTTGTTTTGTTGGGTAGTAGTGTGATTTTTTTGTTTGTTTTTAAAACTTCTCACTATGGTTGATCAATATTACCTTTGCCTATCAGCTTTTTTTTTTCCCAGAAGGGGAAATTCTGAATTCAGGAGGCAAAGGGTGTTAGGGACAGAAGGATAAATGCTTTTAGAAAACCTAGTCATCAAAGGTTGTGTTTACCAGGAGCCGATTTACAAAGCCTTAGAAAGCTATTGTAGTTTAGCAGAAAGACAAGTTAATGAACTTTGTGTATGTGTATCCCAGTTTACCCACAGAAATGGCTTTTCTGAGGAAAACGTGCCCAAATGAAGTCCAGGGCAGGATTCCAAATTCTCTTAAGAATGCTATCAGGATAGCTTTAGGTCTTAGCTTTAGTGAGCTTATAACTAAATTAGTTTGTCCTAGAATTTCTAGTGTGATGATATTAACTCTGACTTCACAAATGTATGTTAAACCACTTGATAAAAAAGAAAACATAAGTTCGTAAATCACCTGTTTAAAAAAAAAAAAAAATCATGCAAGTATTGTCCTAGTTTGATAGCTGATATTGCTGAAGAGAGATTGCTTGGAAAAAATATGTTTGTGGCCTCTTTTGGTGAGAATCCTGTTGATTTCTTGAATTCCTTAGGGAGAAAGGGCAGCTAATGCTAACGATCCTATCTTGTCCTTGCCTGAGCGGAAGAAAATCACGCTTTTAAAATCTTGACTTTCACTAGATGGCAGCATCTCAATGTTTCAACAGGAAATTACGTTCATATAGAGAAACTTGCCAGTTAGACTACAAATCCCAACAAACGCAGCAAAAAGAGTATAAAACTTCCGTTTGTACAAAGGTCAGGAAACATAACAAGGTGCTCGAGATCTCTTGGTAAGTGACTATATTAATTTCTATTTTTAAATGCTTCATAGAATTGGTGTGGCAACTATTCATAAAAACTGGTTTTTCGATTGAAAAATGTATTTATAGTGCATGTTGCTTCCAAAGTATTAAGGTGTTTGGGGAAGTACTTGGGCTGGTCAGGTTTTGGTGGGCTTTTTTCCACGGAAAAGATGTATGTGACAACAAAGAATTAAGACAGACCTTCCTGTGCCTTGAGTGAGCACTTTGAGCTCAATGTTGAGATACTCAGGACTTACTACAATTAATAAAACCTTTCCCTGAATTTTGTGTTTGAGGAGTTGCATTTTGGAAAGCTTGGTACATTAGAGAGACAGTGCAACATTAGTTGTGTGTGTGTAATTTTAATTTGCTGTTAACTTGGTATTTTTCACCTGTCAACACAAAAAGGTTGTGCTAAGACCGTGAAGTGCTCTATGATGAGTTCAGCTATATGTATTCAAAGACTTCAGGTTCTTGGGACATCTTTCTATACTCATAGTAACATAAACAAATTTTGCTTTATGGATAAAAGTGCAGAAGGTTTTGCTTGTTGGGAACCCAGATAAACACCAGATACCACGTTCTGACTGGAACACAGTGACCTTCCTTTTTAGGCAGTTCTGTGAAACATCCTATTAGGTAGCTTACTCCTTAAATAATCAAAAATCCTAATGGAAACTTTTGAATCTATGGGAGTGGAAGAATGGCGTTTGCTCCTAGGTTTGTCTGCAACTTTACATACTGTATTTCTTTAAACGTGCAGCATTACAAAGCATGTGCTTAGGTGGAAGAGAAGGTGGCTGCACTTTGCCCTTTGGCTGCTACATGTTGAGGAAGGTGGAACCTCCTAGAAGTTGTCTGCTGCTTGCCCCAAGCATGCTCTGGAGTTCCCTGAGAGCGAGCAACGTGAGAGGGGTGACACAGGACAGAGCTTCCTTTCCTTTCCCTGCCCTGCTCCTGCCTTGTTGGAGCTGGAAATCTGCTTTGCAGGAAGATTCCTAAGACAATTCAGAGCAGATACCAAGGCCAGGGTATTGTGTGGAATTTATTGCGATCTAGGAAGCTGATGAGTTTGTAGTTTGAGAGGAATAGCACACACCTGCTTGCTAAGAACACAGTGGAAACACTAGTTTACAAACTATTGTATTTCTATATTATCTTGACTTTTTTTCTGTTTAAGGAAAAATAAAGTCCAGATTGTTATTATATAGCTTGGCTTTTGAGCTCAAATACTTTGTGATCTTTTTGAGGTCCTTACTTATTGGAGGGGGGGAAGAAGTTGAGGCAGTCCCCCCCTCAGAACCCTTGGTGCCTCAGACTCACACTGCAGCCACAGGACAATCTCTGATACGATTTGATGGCAGAAGTACTCTGAACCATGTCTGCTTTTTGGAATGCATTTACATCTGATTCCCAGGGAGTGTTGTTGGCTCATCTTTTTGTTAAAGATTCTCTGATGTCTTATGTCTACACAGGCCAGCAATATGGGTCGGCTGGATGGGAAGATCATACTGCTGTCTGCAGCAGCACAGGGAATTGGACGAGCAGCTGCTATAGTAAGTTGGAAAATGTTCTCCTGTATCTAAGCTAGGTCTCTAATGCTACCTTGTCCAATGACACCTGCACCAAACAAGTTGTTGAATTAATAAACCATACATGAAACTAGAACTACTTATTGAAAATTTCAGAGAATAATATAGTCACTATACTGTATCAAGCATACTTTGTGCTGTTTGAATTTCTGAAAGTCTTTCGTTCCGAGCAGTGACATGAGGCAAGTGTAAGGGCAAGATTTGAGAACAGCTGTAACTGTTTTCTAACAGTATATGGTTGGTACTTCTGTACCTCTAATCCAGTATCTCTGCTGCTTTGTTCTGGGAGAAGATAAGGAGAATACAGGGAATACTTCCTGATATCCCCTACAGTAAAGCCAAGATATTCTATCTGCATTAATAGTTGACATGACCAAGTCTACATGATACTAACAGCACAGCTACAATGTTGCTCACAATGAGCAACTGTGAGAAATCCTTTACAAATTTTATTTAATTACTGTTAAACAGACTTAGAAATATGTATTAACTTTCTGGTTACCTTTTAATTCCTTTTGACCAGTTCTCCTGCTACTTCTGTCTTCCATAGCAGGTAAAGAAGCTAGTAGATTTATCTCAGTATCTCCACAATGTAACCAGTAAGCTGGGAAAAGCTCCTGTAAGTAGGATTTTTGCCAGACTAGTTAGTTTCTCATGCATGTAGTTAAGAATGAAGATGTCTGCTGGTCTTGGCGCTTACACTAAAACATATTCCAAGGAGTGTTTTAAGCTGCATTTGAGACACTTATTTTGAAGATGAGGGGCTACAGTCCGAGATGTCTCTTTTGACACAGAGGTTACTTTGTTAGCATAGCTGTTGATTTATCAATAATCACAATGCAGAGAAAGCAGATTTTGTGGAGAGCATCAAGAATGAAGAATTCTCTCTGGTTAGGTATCACAGAAAAGTCATGCTTCTTTTGCTATTGCTCTATTCTAATTATTTGAATGAGAAGGATTTCCTTAAAGTTTATATGCCACTATTCCTTTTTTATGACTTATGCCTTTACCTGTCACATCCCCTAACTTAATTTAAATCCAACAATACAGACAATTCTAGCCTTACGTGTTTGTAACGTGATTGTTAGTACACATGCAACTAATAGGGGCAATATTAATGAGTTGTCTTAGTCTGGTTACAGTTCTTATAATTTATGAATTCCTTACTTCAAGGAAAAAGATCTTAAATCTGCCTTATCATGTGTAGTTACTTAGTTGTCCCCAGGGTGTGTGCTAGTTGATGTCCATTACTCCCTGGCATTCTCAGAATGAAAAGTGAAAGATCAGCTGCCTTCAGCCAACTTTTATTTCAAGCCAAAATGGAAATGAGAACAAAAAAGATTTTATTTCAGGAAGATGTGGAATATCTAAATATAAACTGTTTCTCTTGTATTCTTCAGGCTTTTGCTAAAGAAGGAGCCAAAGTCATTGCTACAGACATCAATGAGTCTAAGCTGCGAGACCTGGAGAAATATCCAGGTAAATGACCTACAATAGGTGTTAGTTCAGCTCTTGGAAGTTTTGTTGTAGACTGGCCGACATATTAATTTGAGGATAGGGCAAACTTCAAAAGGTCAGAAAAAATGGGAAATAGCTGGAGTAATTCTTTAGATGTTGGCACTGCTTTATTCTGTGATGTGGAACGACAGAGATTTAGAATGTAAAATACTGCAACATCAGCATATCAGAGTATTATTCCAGGCACGTGGAATAACTTTGGATTTCTTGCGTCACAGAAGCAGTTGGTTTCTGCTTCACAGAATGGCACCCATTTTGGTTAACTTTTGAGATCACTAGGCTAATTGTCAAACACATCACTCAAAAGGCATGGAATGCTTTCCTCTGATCACAAGAGCTAACATCCAGCTATACAAAATGTAGATTTAGTGTCCTGTATTTCCACGGTCCATACTTCCTAAGGAATGCATTAAAAAGATAGTGGTCTAGTAGAATTCATAAGCCTTCGGAAATGAATTCCACCAACACTAAATAAGCCTGTTCTGTTTGTACAAATGTTCAGGTCTGAAGGTTGCTTTCCTACTCATATCCCAGGAACATACTTCGAGGAGCAGGTTTTGCATAGCCGTGTTTCTTAATGATAAGTGACACAAGTGTGGGACATGATATTAAAAAAATATTTTTTGAATCTTGAAGTAAAAAAATGAGACTTGGATATATTTCACAACTGAAAATGCTTCCGACTTAATTTGATGGAAGGAACTGGATTTAATGAATTACTGTTAAGGGTGACAGTCAAATAACAAAAACTACTTTTCTCTGGCACAGCTTTTCGAGTGAACATTGGTCTCCACTGACTGGAGTTCACCACAAGCAATCCCTTTGTAATTCTTCAGGGACTTCAGGACTTTCTAGGTTCATTCCGAGAGTGTTTAGGAAAGTGTTATGGCTTGAACTGTGCATTTTTTTCCCCTCTGCTAGTGTGTTTACAAGGAAAGAGGTAACTTTCCACATACTCAGAGCCATTTCCATCCTTTTGACACGATTAGTTAAGCTATAATTCTCAAGGCTTGGCACATTGTGTTCTTCTAATTTCATCCAGGAGAGGTAATTCTAGTGTTGATATTAATCACCAGCCTGTAGTCTGACCGCGTCATCATACACAAATCTCTTCAAAAGTGTCTACATCGTTTAACTAAGGCACATAAAGCCTGTTCATGGACTTGTTAGTTTGGCTTCAAAAGAAATGGGTTTTTATCCATTTCACATGAAATTCTCCCATAATTTAGACGTCACTCAGATGCTTTACAGACAGCTTTACAGTAGTTTATAGAATCATTTATGCTGGATGAGACCTCTGGAGGCCATTTAGTTCTGCCTACTGCTCAAAGTGGCTCTGCTTAGAGCAGATTGATCATGGATGGAATTTCCTCAACAACCTCTGTAGGCTCCTGTTCCAGTGCAACCACCCTCGTGGTTTTAAAATAATAATGATATTTAAAAAACTGACAAAAAGACTCTAAACAAATAACACAAAACCCAAACATACCTTATATTCAGTCAGGCTTTCCAATGTTCCAACTTCTCTCTGTTGCCTTTCATCTTTCCACTATAGGTCTCTGAGGAGTTTGACTCCACCTTCTCTACAGTCTCTCAACAGTCAGTTGTAGACGTTTATTAGATTGTGTGTCACTAGTTGCACATGACTAAATGATAAAAAAATATGGAGTTTAGGTGTTCTATACTAGATGTCCATTCATCCTAGATATAGGGTATGCCATGACCAGGCTGTGGCAAAAGGGTGATCAGCAGCAAGTCTTAGCAGGTACAATTAGGCTCCCAGGGCACTAAGGCAATTACTGGAGTACAGCCTGACTCCTCCTTTTCCACTTATCTAGATTTCCTTTGAATGAAAAGTTCATGTGTTTGAGAAGGGGGCACAGCTCAATCTTCACACGTGGTGTGGAGCGAGGGTGCAGGCAAAGCTTCTTATGAAGTATGCCTGTTCCATTGCAAGGATTCAGCCGTGACATGGGTGAGAGAAATTGGTTGTGTTAGATTACAGGAAGCTACTTAAGTAAAATGAGATAAAATAACATGTAGATTATATCATATCATATATTACAGCTCATCTGGAAGAGTAGTTCTTTTATTTTGCTCTTTTCAGTTCTGGCCAGGGGATGGTATGGCTGTGGTTGGCCCCAAAGCAGTTCTGTCAAAGGGGTTGATTCTATTGAAAAGTGTTTGGAAGAGTTGAGCCTGACTCTGTTTTGCAGTAATTGTGTTTCTCAATCTTTCACAGACAACTTTTCTGAAAAAAATTGAAGGTTTTTTGGGTGGTGTTTTTTTGTTTTCTGTAGCTTTCTTGAAGGTATGGCACAGGTACAGCTGGTGCTATAAGTGCTGACAGTGACAGCTGTCAGAGGCTGAAATACATAGAAGCTTATAGTGAAAAGCAACACATTTCCGGCCCTCTTCTGTTTGATTATAAACAAATAATTGCAACAACATAAGCATCATATTTTTAAACTAGCCTTTGTGATAGAAGCCATCAATTTGTTACACTTCTTTTCTATTATCATGATTATGGCATCGTTCCAGGTTATGCAAGTTAATGGCATATGCAAAATCACTTTTTCTCATTAATTAAATGGTATACAGCTGATTCGTAATATCCTCCACTACACAGGGGTAGGTGGCATGTGATGTGATTATCAGCATATGTGACACATGTAACATTTAAAGTAATTTTTGTTTTATGACACTAGGCATGAAAACTTGTTATGATTATACAGGCTCTGTCATTCTTCATTTGAGAGCACAGTGAAACCCAAATTTATTGGAAATGTTTTTATGGTAAATGACGTTAGCTCATCTGCTTGTGTGATGATGTATGACAATTGGATCAGTTGATCTTTTTTTCATTCTCTTCTGAAATTTAAATAGCATGCCATGCTGTCCATTACTGTCTGGATTTAACTATTGCATTAATTTAATCAAGTGTAGCTCTCGCTCAATGAGTCTCCATGTCATGGTGAACCACTGAGAGAGGACTGTTCCTGGCAAGCCACTGACTTGAATCGTAGATGCAGTCCTCAGCACTTCAGAAAAATAAACTGCTGATCCTTAGTCAAATACATTGAAATTAATAACTATTTTTTTTCTCTAGGCATTCAAATACGGGTTCTGGATGTCACCAAAAAGGAGCAGATAGAAAATCTGGCCAAGGAGATTGAAAGGATTGATGTCCTCTGTAACATTGCAGGGTAACCAGCTTCTATTTGATCCTACTTCTTTTTCCAGTTTACCCTGTCTTCCAGAAGCAGTTTCTTTTACTTAAATGCGTTTTATTTCTTTCGGTTTAATGCATTTTATGTCTTTAATATAATTTTAATGTGTTTTCATCAGCACTGAACTACTTGTGCATAGCTGTGTTACCTAGGCCAAGATAGAATGGCTCTGGAATTTGTTTTCCTCGCTCTGTGGATGCCCTGTACTGATGACTCTTGCCCTCTTTACACAACAGTGAGAAAAGTTGATGGTCTGCCAGTGATCTATCTTTTTAACTTCCCTATTATCAAACACTTTTGTGCACGTATCAGATCTGTCTTGTATCCCTGTTACTCATCAGAAGAAATACACTGTTGCTTTTTCTTCAAAAGAGCTCTTGTCCCTCCTTTTCAAGATTGGAAGGGTTAGCTATTACAAAATAGCAGTGGAAAAAATATGCATAAAAAGTCATAGAAACGTAAATCACAGGCAGTAATCACTTCACGCACTTATTCTAGGTTTGTTCATCACGGAACCATTCTGGAGTGTGAAGAGCAAGACTGGAACTTCACTATGAACCTCAATGTTCACAGCATGTATCTAATGATCAAGACATTCCTTCCTAAGGCAAGGCTTGGTTGCCCACGATTTTCAGTCTCTGCTGCATTGTGTTTAAAGTGTGAGAGGTCTGAGTTGTTGGCATTGTGACAACGTGGGGTTAGAGATAAAAAGGCAAGCATGCCGCGTGGTGTAGGTGAGATCCTTAGCGTTTTAGAGTAGGATTGCTATAACCTGTCTGCATTGTGTAATCCTTCAAGTAGACTATATAAAGGATATGGTGGGAAGATAAATTCAGGGGATTTGCCCTATGTAATTTGTAACTAAAATCCATCAAACGCAGAGCAGCGAGGGAGCCATTGTAATACAGTACCATATTGTACTATATCACACAGCTACGCAATACCATTGCTACAAAATAGTGATAAAATATGTATATTATATTTTATGTTATAAAATATGTATATGAATTTTATGCAAATCTGGAAACTATTGTCTGAAGCAATTCAGTGCCACTGATGCAAACACACTGGTTATACTACCCATTAAGGGGTAATGGTTTTAAAATAGAGGGAGGTAGATTCAGGTTGGATATTATGAAAAAATTTTTTACCATGAGAGTTGTAGAACACTGGAACAGGTTGCCCAGAGAGGTGATGGATGCTCCATCCCTGGAGACGTTCAAGGCCCGGTTGGATGAGGCCCTGAGCAACCTGATCTAGTTGGAGATATCCCTGTTCCTTGCAGGGGGGTTGGACTAGATGACCTTTGAAGGTCCCTTCCAGCCCTAACCATTCTATGATTCTATGATATTAGAACAACATTCCAATTGGACAGTCTAGCAGGTTGAGGACATTTGTTGTGTTTGACGTAATAACTAGGTTGGGACCCATGAAAACTTGTGGACCAAATAAGATGTTTGTGTTCCTGTAAATGCAAAGGCCAGAAGTGGAAGCTGTGACCATGACTGGATAACGACTACTTTTACAGTGCTGTTCCAGTCCTCCTTGTTTGGTTGGTTTGATTTTTTTTTTGTTTGAGTTAGTGGGGTTTTTTTGTTGGCTGATCTTAATTTTCAAAAGTTCTTTCTAATGACTTTAGGCATCTCAGGTTTTGGGATACATAAGAAGTTTATAACTTAAAGGAATTTAGCTACAATTCAAAGATACTAAAGAGTTGTGTATTAGTCTTCTCCAAGGTAAGAAGAGCTTGAATGGGGTCAGTGAATTACTGCATTGGTAGATGGCATGAGCAGATGTCTATGCAGGGTAACTTGCTGTGGTGACAAGAGGTCAGTGATTCGGAGGCGACTATCTAGGAGAAAAATCCTTTCCTCTCATAGTCTTCACCCCTGTGATGACTTGAGAGAACTTAGTGAGAATTTTAGATTCTGCTTTACTAGTTCAGTCAATAGATCAAAAAGAGAGAACCACCTATTCATGACAATTAAGCTTTGTTACTCCATGTAGGGCTGTTCCGTGGGTTATTACGGGCTATTTTGCTGGATCTGCAGATGAGAAAATAGTTTGCATTTGAATGACATAAGAATTCTTTTGCAGATGCTTAAACAAAAATCTGGAAATATTATAAATATGTCTTCTGTGGCATCCAGCATTAAAGGTCAGTAGCTTGCTAGAGAGTTCCTTATGTAAATCTATGAAATGATGGGAATGCAAAATAAATATTGTGCAATTCTGAATCTAGAGGACACTGCTAATCCTGTGAAGGGGTGCAGTTAAAAAAAGTGAACACATCAACTCGTACACACAGCAAGTACACAGGTGTAACATTGCAGAAACACTAAGATTCCTGCCTCTGAGCTTTTCATTCTGTCCTGAATGTTTTGTAGCATCCTTTTTACCAGTTAGTATTAACTAAACAGGAATTGCTTGCAGTGATACCTTGCTACATACATTCATCAGAGAAACTATGAAGAAATGACAATTGCATGAGCACTGTGGCTATGCTTCCCAAGGAAACCTGATAGTGACTAACGGATGGGTCTCTTCTGTTCCTAAATATTTGCTTTAACTTTTCTAGACTACTCCCCAAACTTATACTACTGAGAGATTGTGTGCTTTGCTGTGGTGTACACGTGCGTAGAATTGTGGCAGTCGGCCTTCTAGTTAGCCCGGCTGACGGAGAGACTGCAGGAGCTACGGGTAATCCTGGAGTCCGGAAGCAAATGCATATTGAATGCACGTGGCTCCTTTTTTTTATTGTTGTTTCTTTGTTTTATGTTTCTATGCTGCTTTCACACTGACCTTCTGTTAGGAGTCGTGAACAGATGTGTCTACAGTACTTCAAAGGCAGCGGTTATTGGCCTGACAAAGTCTGTGGCTGCTGATTTCATTGAACGAGGCATCAGATGCAACTGTGTATGTCCTGGTAAGTATTCTTACGTTGTTTTGTAAACTAGGAGCAGATGCTGATTTAGAAGCATCTAAGCAGCAGAAGGCCTAGTTTAGTTTGACATTATTAACAAAGAATAGACTTGCAAGTGGCAACTAAAGTTACCACCAATCAAAAAGAACAGAGTATGCGTGAAACACTTGTGAGATTTAAAACAGAAAAGTTGTGATTCTTATAGTAAAGCTGTATATTTAGTCTATTAACCCAGCACATGCACATAATATATGCATTACACAGTACTTTGATGATTATTTTCAAAGACATAGTCTGGAAGTTAGAAGCAGGCAAGGACTAGCTAAGAGGCTAGCCATTGTTTGACCATCTGGAGAGTATTGAATCTAGTTCTCAAAACACTTGTCTTTATTGAAATTTAGAGTCCTATGCTATGTTTACATAGGACAGGAAATTAATTTGGATTATTACAATTATTTGGGATTATTACAATTATTTGGGATTTCCTATGCTATGTTTACATAGCATAGGAAAGACAGTTTTGCAGTCTTTCTCCTGAATCATATCATGAAGTTAAATATAAGCATTAACACATACAAACAGAACCAATGAACTGCATTGTTTTGTCATGATTGTTGATGCAGTTGATTTTTGACACTGAATTTAAAATTTTGCTTAGGAACTGTTGACACACCGTCTTTACAGGAAAGAATCCAAGCCCGGCCTAACCCAGAACAGGTGAGAAAGCAATTTATTAGTTCGACCATGTGCATACATATATTTAACTCCCTCTTAAAAAAAAAAAAATAAAATAAGAAAAGCAGTATTTCTTGCCAGATTCAAGAATGTCCCTATTTCAGAGTACCAATGATGGCATAACAGTAGTGTTTCCTTTGAGAGTTGGGTCAGTTTGTACTCAAGACAGAATTCTTAAAATGCCTTAGAAGGACCCTATTGCTTAGTGAATAGGGAGGGTCTGTCATGTATGGAAGTACTTGCAGCCACTGGTTACAGTACCTAGTGCAAAAGTAAAAGGCATTTTCTGCTTTTTGGCGTGGATTTTCTGCTTTTTGGCGTGGATTTTCTGCTTTTTGGCGTGGATTTTCTGCTTTTTGGCGTGGATTTTCTGCTTTTTGGCGTGGATTTTCTACTTTTTGGCGTGTGGCAGCTGCAAACTAGTGCAAAACCGTGACAGAAAGGGCATTCTGGCCTATGCATTTCAAAATTATTTGGGATCCTTAATCATGCTGACTAGATAACTGTGAGCCCTCATTTGAGGGGCCTGGGAATATCTACTACCAAAGGAAGAAGGACTTATGTTGGCTTTATTGTGGAACTGGAGATTTAGGTCCAGTCTCCTAAGTATTTTTCAACCTGCAATTCTTACCACTGTTAATCATTCCATTTCTTTTTCTAGCATGAATTCCCTACCCAGGGTACTAAAGGAAGTTACGACTTACAGTGTGTTTCTAGTGTTGCTTTGTACATGTCGGATTAATTGGATTAAACTAATTGTTTTATTTTTGTATATACATTGGATTAAACTAATTGTTTTATTTTTGTATATACCAAACGCTTTTGTATATCTAGGCATTGAACGACTTTCTAGCCAGACAGAAAACTGGCAGGATGGCTACTGCTGAAGAAGTGGCCCATCTCTTTGTGTACTTGGCCTCTGATGAAGTAAGTATGGAATGATAAAACTTCCTATCACAAAATCCCATGCTACTTTGCTGCATCACAATAGAGAGAATTTTTTAGGAGGATTTATATTGTCTTTGAGCTGGATTATTACAAAAATAAAAAACTGAGCATCTCTTACTGAGTTCAACCCACCAAATGGGAAGTACTCTGAAAGCTGACACTGATTGTTAAGGTGTTAGATATTTGGTACCATAGCCTGATGGTTTCATGTCACCTGAGCAAATTGACTGACCCTCAGATCATCCCGAACGACAGGAGAAGTGAGCTTGTCTGCTTTTCCAAGTTTGCACCATGGCCAGATCATGTTTTAAGGAGGCAGAATTAGTAGACATCAGCTACCTTCACTACTCAAGAGCAAATATTTGTGTGGAACTGCTGGAGATTCTAGCTAAAAGGGCTAATGCTCAGAGTGAATCTACCTTTTCAGCATAAGGAAAACAATAGACCCACTAAGATAGTTTTAGACCAAACTCTTAATGACCACTTCAAATATGGCCAACGCTAATGAGCACACATCAGTGTTATTTCAGATGCCATAAATTTACTGTGAATCTAAAATTGAACTGGATTCCTCTGGACTTGTCCAGCAGCCCTACTGAATGTAACAGAATACTTTAATGGAATTAATTCAGTCGTAATGTTGCTATCTATCAGTAACCTGTTTCACATTTTCATCTTAGTTCTAGTGTTTCTTTTTCCAGTCTAGTCACAGGGTTTTCAACCATGTGTAGACAGAATTCCAGTTTTCCAATATGTTCCAGGATGCTTCAGTACTGGCATACAGAGAATGTCAACAGCTCAGTTGCTTACCTCACTCTTCTGTACCATCTAAATTTTCAGTTAGGTCCCTTTATAATTATTGGCTGACCTGGTCAGATTCTTCTCAGGCGAACAGAGCCAAGAATATCATAGTATGAGGTATTATTCCTGCAGGTGATGTATCTGAAGTCTAGTTTATGTGGATTTGTTCACCAGGATGCATTCTCATCTTAATGCATCTAATAATGCTTTTCTACTCTCCTCTGAGCTAGCTGAAGGGCTTCCATTTCTAAGTTTGTTTATATTCTATTTATTCAGATAATTTTGTAAACCAAAAAAAAAAAAGTGTAAAAAGCAGTTTTTTGAATTTAAAGAAAAAGTGTTTCCCTCTAATAGCCAAGAAAAAAAATAAAGTCATTGTTATTTTTATTGTAATTTCAGTCTGCTTATGTGACTGGTAATGAACTAATCATCGATGGAGGATGGAGCTTGTGATTGACTCCACCTGCAAATGGAACTTCATACTATGAAAGGCAAAAAGTGAGAGTCGTGTTTCTCAGTTGAGATATAGCTTGCAAAGATTTAGATCACTCGCATGATGTCTTCCAACACAGATTTGGTCCATTTTTACTGCTATATGATCTCTTTCTAGATTGATCTTAACTGATTCACTTTTCCCTAAATAGTGAAATACTGGATTAAAACATACTTCATGTGGCTTTGTTTTATGGTAACTCCAAAACCGTGAAAGAATAGCAATTTAACCTTTAAGATTTCAGAGGGTAAAAATAATATCTAAGTTACAAAATCTGAGTAAAAGGAATTAAATACTATATTTATTCTCATCCTGCAGAGTTTTTAGAAGTTAAACATTCACAATTAGGTTTCCTAGTAGCATTGTCAAGCTATCTAGAGAAAACGGAGTGACTGCTGTTAAATCAGCCAAATGGATCCTGAATTAAGTGTGATTTCAACAGAAGCAAGCAGAAATAATAGCAAATATAAAGATTTAGATGCTTGTATAATTTTGTTGCTTGTAATAGATGTTTCTGTATGTTCTGGTTTTGGCTTGGGTAGAGTTAGTTTTCTTCACAGTAGCCAGTATGGGGCTGTTCTGGATTTGTGCTGGAAACAGTGTTGATAGCACAGGAGTGTTCTGGTTACTGCTGAGCAGTGGTTGCACACTTCAAGGCCTCTTCTGCTTCTCACCCCACCCCACCAGTGAGTAGGCTGGGGGTGCACAAGGAGTTGGGAGGGGACACAGCTGGGACAGTTGACCCCAGCTGACCAAAGGGATATTCCAGACCATATGATGTCATGCTCAGCATATAAAGCTGGGAGGGGGGAAAAAGGAGGAGAGGAACATTCGGAGTGATGGTGGTTGTCTTCCCAAGTAAGTGTTATGCAAGGTGGAGCCCTGCTTTCCTGGAGATGGCTGAACACCTGCCTGCCCATGGGAAGCAGTGAATGAATTCTGCGTTTTGCTTTGCTGGTGTGCACAGCTTCTGCTTTACCTGTTATACTGTCTTCATCTCAACCCATGAGTTTTCTCACTTTTTACCCTTCCGATTTTCTCCCCCCTCCCACTGGGAAGGAGTAAGTGAGAGGCTGTGTGGTGCTTAGGTGCCGGCTGGAGTTAAACCACAACAGTGTATTAGAGAACATGCTAGTTGCACATTGTACCTGAAAGCACATTCTGCTTTGCAAAGTACTTTAAGTTTTTTCTGTTCTCTACTATCATTTGCAAAATGCTTTAGAACTGCGATAGCTGTAGAAAAAGAGTTTGAATTGTTGAAAAGAATCTGTTCCCAAGCCTGATAACACAGATCCAAAGTGGGCAGTGCGAGGCAGTCAAACACACTGTAGATACACAGTGTATGGGCACATGGAACTTCCTGTGTGTATAGTGAAGAGTCAGCATACATGTACAACTGGTTTTTGCATCTGCAATGTCCATTTTCCAGATTCTGGGCCAGGCAGGCTATGAGAATCTGGAAAAGCCGTAGATCATAGCACAAAAGGCAGGGCAACAGATTACCATTGGTAGTAGTAAGATTGGCCGCTTTGTGGAGTTTGGGAGGTTTTTTGTTTAAGCATATAATGATTATAGACACTGTCTTCATGAAGCAGAAATGATGGAGAGGAGCGTGCTCTAATGGTTAAAACTAAAGCTTATAGCATGTAAAGAACAAAGAGAATCACATGTTCTTTTACAATCAGATAGAAAATGAGTATGTTAACTAGTAGAGAAGAGGTCCTAGTGGAGAAATAGAGGCCAGAACTCATTCATTAATGTTATAGATAACTCCTAAAATGGTCTTGGAAGTATCATTGCTATATATATATTTTTTTTCTCCCCTTCCACGTACAGAAAGTATTATGCAAGGACATCACTCTGGTAGGCTGGATGGGGGTATAAGTGGGACAGTATTCTCAAATACACGGGTGGATCTTGATGAATATACTTGACTTCTGGCACACAAGCAAAATGAGTGGATTTTACAGCTTTAGATAGAGCCAATATATTTGTCTTCAAAAGAGTCTACTAATATTGGACAAATATTGTCAAATCTATATGCTAGGTGTGAGGCTTTGGTATTCATAGAATCATAGAATGGTTAGGTTTGGAAGGGACCTCAAAGATCATCTAGTTCCAACCCCCCTGCCACGGGTAGGGACACCCTCCACTACACCAGGTTGCTCAAAGCCTCATCCAACCTGGCCTTGAACACTGCCAGGGATGGGGCATCTACAACTTCTCTAGGAAACCTGTTCCAGTGCCTCACCACGCTCACAGTGAAAAATTTCTTCCTTAGATCTAACCTAAATCTGCCCTTTTTCAGTTTAAATCCATTGCCCCTTGTCCTATCACTACATGCCCTTGTATAAAGTCCCTCTCCAGCTTTCCTGTAGGCCCCCTTTAAGTACTGGAAAGCTGCTATAAGATCACCCCGGAGCCTTCTCTTCTCCAGGCTGAACAGCCCCAACTCTCTCAGCCTGTCTCCATAGCGGAGGTGTTCCAGCCTTTGGATCATCTTTGTGGCCCCCTCTGGACCTGCTCAAGCAGCTCCATGTCCTTCCTGTGTTGGTGACTCCAGAGCTGAATGCAGTATTCCAGGTGGGGTCTCACGAGAGGGGCAGAATCACCTCCTTCAACCTGCTGGCCACAGTTCTTTGGATGCAGCCGAGGATATGGTTGGCTTTCTGGGCTGCCAGCACACATTGCCAGCTCATGTTGAGCTTCTCATCCACCAGCACTCCCAAGTCCTTTTCCTCAGGGCTGCTCTCAATCCATTCTCCGCCCAGCCTGTACTGGCGCTTGGGATTGCCCTGACCCACGTGCAGGACCTTGCACTTGGCCTTGTTGAACTTCATGAGGTTCTCACAGGCCCACCTCTCCAGCCTCTCAAGGTCCTTCTGGATGGCATCCCTTTCCTCCAGCGTGTCCACAACACCACACAACTTGGGTGTCATCTGCAAACTTGCTTGATTCTCAAATATTCTATTCCTTGATTCTCAAATGCCAGTACAGATTGTGCTAAAACACAAGGCTAAGTTTCTCTGAAAAGGACTGTCTCTACAAGAGTTTGTGCTGATGCTTTTATTGTGAAAGTCTCATACTCTGGAAAAAAACATCGATCCTGTCCCAGAGATATAAGGCAATGAATAACCTGAATTCTAAAACTATTTGTTTCGCTAACATACTGTTAAAATTGACATGAATGACATGGGCTGACTACCTATAAACACCGTTACCTGAAAAAATAAAGATTACACACAGCTCCATATATCTAGTTTGTGAATGAAGCTGTATGCGGTTTCATATATGTTCATATATTTTAAATACATATATATGTGGAGGAAAAAATTAAAGCATAAACACTACTGTGTGTGACTGATCAGTAACCAGAAAGCACGGGGGAAAAATGTACAGTATTTCATGCATGTTTCTGTAACAACTGCATGTTTTAAAAATCAGTCTAAGCTTTTCAATATTAGCTGAAGCATTTTTTTAATATATTTTTTCATTTCAAAGAATGTCTAGTTAAAATCAGGTTTCTTATTCATAAAAGTCACATTTATTTAAAATTTTACAAGGAGAAAGTATTGTGGATTTTGGCTTCCTCAGGCTCATTACAGGTTTAACTTTTACCTTTAATCATGGTTGGAGCATTCTGGTCTCGTG